ACCATTAGAGTGGTGTGTTCAACCAGAGAACCAATCACAACAAATCATTAGAGTGGTGTGTTCAACCAGAGAATCAATCACAGCAAACCATTAGAGTGGTGTGTTCAACCAGAGAACCAATCACAACAAACCATTAGAGTGGTGTGTTCAACCATAGAACTAATCACAACAAACCATTAGAGTGGTGTGTTCAACCAGAGAATGAATCACAGCAAACCACTAGAGTGGTGTGTTCAACCAGAGAATGAATCACAGCAAACCATTAGAGTGGTGTGTTCAACCAGAGAACCAATCACAACAAACCATTAGAGTGGTGTGTTCAACCATAGAACTAATCACAACAAACCATTAGAGTGGTGTGTTCAACCATAGAACTAATCACAACAAATCATGAGAGTGGTGTGTTCAACCAGAGAACTAATCACAACAAACCATTAGAGTGGTGTGTTCAACCATAGAACTAATCACAACAAACCATTAGAGTGGTGTGTTCAACCATAGAACTAATCACAACAAACCATGAGAGTGGTGTGTTCAACCAGAGAACTAATTACAACAAATCATTAGAGTGGTGTGTTCAACCAGAGAATGAATCACAACAAACCATTAGAGTGGTGTGTTCAACCAGAGAACCAATCACAACAAACCATTAGAGTGGTGTGTTCAACCAGAGAACCAATCACAACAAACCACTAGAGTGGTGTGTTCAACCAGAGAACCTATCAAAACAAACGATTAGAGTGGTGTGTTCAACCAGAGAACCAATCAAAACAAACCACTAGAGTGGTGTGTTCAACCAGAGAACCAATCACAACAAACCATTAGAGTGGTGTGTTCAACCAGAGAACCAATCACAACAAACCATTAGAGTGGTGTGTTCAACCAGAGAACCAATCACAACAAACATAGGTGAACTGCAGTGACACAAACCATTTTTGAATCCCTGCTGAATCAATCTTGGGGTTAACATGGTAAATGGACTGAACTTATAGAGCACTTTATCAAGTCCCTCCAGACCCCAAAGCTCTTTACACATTCACCCATTCACACACTGAAGGTGGTAAGCTACACTGTAGCCACAGCTGCCCTGGGGTACACTGACAGAGGTGGGGCTGCCATGCACCGGCGCCTCCGGACCCTCTGACCACCATCAGTAGGCAAGGTGGGTGAAGTATCTTGCCCAAGGACACAACAACTGAAACGGCTGGCAGGCGATCAAACTGGCGACCTTCCGGTTCCAGGACGACTCCCCTAACCACTCTACCACAGCTGCCCCAACATGAGTCCCCCCGTAATTAATCTTGAGTTAACATGAGTCCCCCTTAATCAATCCTGGAGTTAACACAAGTCCCCCTTAATCAAACTTGGGGTTAACTGAAGTCGCTGCTGAATTAGTCTTGGGGTAAACACGAGGCCCTGCTGAATCAATCTTCGGGTTAAAACGAGTCCCCCCTTAATTAATCTTGGGGTTAACACGAGTCCCCCTTAATCAATCTTGGGATTAACACGAGTCTCCCTTAATCAATCTTGGGGTTAACACGAGTCTCCCTTAATCAATCTTGGGGTTAACACGAGTCCTTGCTGAATCAACCTTCGGGTTAAAACAAGTCCCCCCTTAATCAATCTTGGGGTTAACACAAGTCGCTGCTGAATCAGTCTTGGAGTTAACACGAGTCAGTGCTGAATCGATCTTCATGTTAAAACAAGTCCCCACTTAATTAATCTTTGGGTTAACACAAGTCGCTGCTGAATCAGTCTTCGGGTTAAAACGAGTCCCCCCCTTAATCAGACTTGGAGTTAACACGAGTCAGTGCTGAATCAATCCTGGAGTTAACAGAGGTCTGTTTAAAAACTGAGTCAGTCTTGAACGAGTCATTTGCTGAACAAAACAAGTCTTGGCCCAGTCTAACACTGAAGCCCTTTTTGTGTTTGCTGGAATAGATTCAGTCAAGTTCAGGACAATAATCTGGTGTATTCCAGGTCAGTCCAGCCTAAACTCATCCAGTCCCTTACCAACTTGATTTTATCTGTATCAGTAAAGTTTAGTGGGATTCAMYCTGCAGTAGTCTGGTTTAATCCAGATTAGCATTAATCAGTCTAGTTCAGTCGTCATCATTTAGATTCAGCCTGATCAGACCRGGTCACTCTGTTTGGACCAGTTTGGACCAGTCTGGACTATGCTCACACCTGCCGTGCCACATTCTGGAGCCGTTTCGTAGCCACRCCCACCGACAAGTAGAACAAAGTGAGGAGGCTCCGCCCCCTTAAGCCTGCGTAGTCACATGTTGGCGGCGTGTGTGATATTATTGGTCCATATGGTTCTCATATTTATTGCGTGTTCTGTTCTCCAGGTTCTTGTGTTTGACGTGTGTCATATTTTAAACGTGTKTYTCTGAAAGACAAGAACAAAAAGTTGTGCGTTTGTTATTAACTATGAAGAAAAAAAACTATATCCTGCCAAACTGTTGCATAGCAACCACGTTAGTGCACATTAGTGCACGTCAGTGTGTACTCCCACCACGTGTCTTCATATTGATGAAAATACAATATAAMCATTGTCTTGGTATGATTTTATTTTTGCAGTGAATTTGTAAATGATAGTTAGAACTGATAAACTGTTGTTGAGTATGATCTTATTTTTCTGTAAAGCAGAGTTTCTGTAAACGTGTTGTGTTACAGTTCACTCTGTACGGAGAAGCACAAAGTGATTGTACAAATTATTGTGAATGTTTGTATATTATAGATGAACTTAGTCTAATAAAATCATGATCTTTAATCTTAACAACTGTCTTGTCTGGGTTTTTTTAGGTTTTTATTTTGGTTTTAATATGAAGTCTGTTTCTTTTGTAATGTCTGCTAAAGGTCAAAGGTCATGACCTTTGACCCTCTGGTGATGTGTGGGCTGCTGTTTGTAAAGTTACAGTCAGAAATTACCACCAATATTTGTGTTTTATTTAACCTTTTATAAGAAAAAAAGAACAGATTTATTTTTCAAAGTCAGTTTTCACCATATGATTTATAAATGTCAT